CAACTTAGGCTTACGGTGAAAAAGCTGTTCGTAAAGTGGTTGAAAAACACATTTGTATGCGGGGTTTAATGGATTAGACTGTAATTTAGTACTATATTGTAGTGATAATTTGATACGACGTTGCTTCAATGACGGTTCATCAGCTTCTACATATAGGCTGTCAACAGGAGATGTTCGAAAAGCGCCTAGACAAAGTCGTAGGCCCTGATGGTGAATCAAATCTAACTTTTGTAAATTGCTCTTACAGGCTGCACCATAAATGATGGAGCCATAATCTAATTTAGAGCGGATGAGAGACCTATACAAGTGGAGGAGAGTTGTCTGATCACCTCCCCACTTTGTATTAGCAACTACTTTCAACAAATCTAGAGCCTTCAGACATTTAGTTTTAAGATAATTAATATGTGGCTTAAAAGTCAAATGATGATCGAAAATGAGACCCAGGAACTTGGCCTCTTCTACAACCTTGATAGGAGTGCCATGTAAAAATAGCTCTGGATCTTTGTGGTGTTTGTATTTCCGACAAAAGTGTATACAATTGGTCTTATCTTTTGAAAACCTAAAACCATTTTCAAGACACCATTTTTTGATTTTATTGAGACATAGCTGCAACTGTCTCTCGATGGTTACGCATATTTTTACCACGGCATGAAATATTAAAATCGTCCACAAAAAGTGAACCATCAATGGAATCATTTAAAACCTTTGACAAACTATCAATCTTTATACTAAACAGAGTTACAGACAAAATACTGCCTTGTGGGACACCCTGATCCTGATTATAATGGTCAGACAGGGTGGAACCCACACGAACCTGAAATTGTCGGTCTGTTAAAACTTGGGATATAAATTGAGGCAAACGACCTCTTAACCCCAACGTATGTTGATCTTTTAAAATACCATGCTTCCAAGTGGTATCACACGCTTTTTCTAAATAAAAAAAGATTGAAACTGCATGCTGATTATTGACAATTGCATTTTTGACAAAGGATTCTAAACGTACCAGATGGTCAATGGTACTTCTATTCTTACGGAAACCACATTGTATGTTACTCATAAGATTATTAGTTTCCAAGTACCACACCAGTCGATTGTTTACCATTCGCTCCATGTTTTTGCACACACAGCTGGTTAGTGATATTGGTCGATAATTGCATGCATCAGTATGGTCCCTACCAGGTTTAGGTATAGGAACAACTATTGCATTACGTCATGAAGGTCGAAAATTTCCTGACGTCCAGATCTGATCAAATATATTATGAAGTGTCTCTAAACAAGAATCAGGCAAATGCTTCAAGAGCTGATAGTGAATATTATCAGCTCCCGTTGCAGTATCATGCGCTTGACCTAGGGCAGTATTTAGCTCATGGAGTGAAAATACCTCATTATAATCTTCTCCATTTTGAGAAGTAAAATCAACCCTCTTCTTTTCCTGTAGTTTCTGATATGCTTGAAACTTGGGATCATAATTTGTCGATGAAGAGTGTTTGGCCAGCGTCTCGCCCAATTTATTGGCAATGTCCACTGTATCTGTTAATTAATGGTAACCTTCCTTGAGATGGTGGACAGTCGATTTTGAGCCTTTACCTTTAATTTTGGCAATCATGTTCCACACTTTGGATATCGGCGTGCGAGAATTAATTTTAGAGACATAATTTCTCCAAGACTTACGCTTATTCTGTTTGAATGTACGGCGTGCCTTGGCATTTGTGATTTTAACACGATCCAAATTATGTACAGTTGGATGTCGGCGGAAATATTTCTCCGCTTTTTTCCTGCACTTCCTAGCCTGTTTGCATTCTTTATCAAACCATGGTTTTCGAATGTGTGGATTTGCAGAGGATTTAGGAATGGTGATATCAGCAATTTCATTCAGCTTATTTGAAAACGATTGAATGGGGTCAGTAACAGTACTGAACATATCAGGTGTCAATCTATCTGTACAGAGTTCCTGAAAGGAAGGCCAGTTTGCCTTGGTAAAATTCCACCTTGATGTAGGTAAAACATCAGATGGATTAAGTGCTGTTAATATTGAGGGAAAATGGTCGCTTCCACACAAGTCATCGTGGACTGACCACGTAAATTCGTTTAATAGATTTGAATCTGTTAGTGACAGATCTAAAGCAGAATAAGTTCCAGTAGCAGGATGTAAATAGGTATTTGATCCATCATTGAAAATGCATAAATTGTTATCAGAAATAAAATCTTCAAGTAATTTCCCCTTTGGATTAACGTAACACTTCCCCATAATGGATTATGGCCGTTTAAATCACCCACAATCATGCAGGGCTTAGGGAGTTGATCATATAAGGATTGAAGATCCGATCTCTGAAGCACAGAGGAAGGAGAAATATATAAAGAACACAGTGTAAATGTAATGTGCAAAGTCAGTCGTACTGCGACAGCTTGAAGATTAGTATGAAGTGAAACAGGGCTGTGGATCACTCCCTGCTTCACCAAAACAGAAGATGCTCCAGTAGCTTTAATTCCTGGAGGAGAAAATGAATGGTAGGAACTATACCGCCGCAAATCAAAGTTATCATTCTGTTTGAGATAAGTCTCCTGGAGACAGATTGCTGATGGCGTAAAATCTTGGATTAATAAATGTAGTTCATTAAAATTGGTCCTAAGACCTCTGCAATTCCACTGAATCAGTGGATTCATAATGTTCAAGTTACTGGTGGATTAACAGGAGATCTACATCTCCCATTTCGCGGCGACTTACTTCTGTTGCGCCCGGGATGAGGAGAGACATCCATGTCCTCCAAGGATTCAAAACGATTATAAATCTGTATGGGGTCACGGTGACCCTTTGGTACACGATCTGAATTTTTGGAGTAATCAATTTTTTTGCTGGCATTTTTCACAACCGGGGATGGTTTAGGTGCGGGTACTGCTGTTGGTGTCAATTTTGGCGTAGATGCTGCTGATGCTGAAATATCATCTGTTTGTGAAGATGAACTGGACTGTACAAAGGAATAGGTGTCTGTTGAAACCCAAGTAATATCAGATTTTGAAGTTATGCGTGACACAGCTGCTGAATAGGTCACAGCAGTGGTGGGAGAGACAGAAGCCATGACCAAACGCTTAGCTTCTGGAAAAGTAATGTTTTTGTCATGTTTCAGCTTTACAATCTGAAGTTGAATTTTAAATTTAGGACATGATTTTGAGGATGCCACATGATCACCAGAGCAGTTAGCACAATGAGGGTTTTTTGTACATCTAGTTTCCATATTGTGGTCATCTTCACCACACTGATGACATATCTTGCGATGGTTGCAAGATTGGGCACCGTGCCCGAACTGCTGGCATTTGTAACACCGAAGTGGGTTTGGAATGTATTGATCAACTTCGATGTTAAAATATCCTGCTTTGATATTTTTTGGACGTGTTGGCTTTGAAAATGTCATCAGGTAAGTATTGGAGTTGAAGGTTTTATTATCTCGCTTGTACGTGAAGCGTTTGACGTGAGTAACTCCTTGATCTTTAAGCTCATCAGTTATTTCACTTTCTGCCATATCAGAGAGACAACGTTCTCTATCTCTGATAATTCCTTTGCTGGAATTCAGAGTTTTGTGTAGTGAAATCAAAACTGGAGTGGAAACTGAGTGAGTGAGTGAGTGAAATTTAACGTCACATCGGCAATATTTCAGCCATATCGTGACGAAACAGTTATAATATTTATGTTTTCATTTAATTTAAACGCTGTCAACGATGGACAGTAAGATAACTAGTGTATCACAGTTTCGATGTTAAAACTAGTTGAGAATAGTTAAAAGAATAAATTTTCATTCAACAATTAGATGTTGAAGAATGTTTCGCTAACGTTTCTCCAAGTTTATTTGCAATATCAGTTTTATCCGTTAATAACGTGTCACCTTCCTTAAGATGGTGAACAGATGATTTTGAACCTTTGCCTTTTATTCTTTGCACCATATTCCACACCTTGGAAATGGGCGTGCGGGAATTTATTTTGGAGACATAGTTCCTCCAAGACTGACGCTTATGTTGTTTGAAAGCACGTCGTGCCTTGGCGTTGGTAATTTTGACCTTATCTAGGTTATGGACTGTAGGATGGCGGCGGAAATACTTTTCCGCTTTCTTCCTATATTTTCGTGCCTGTTTGCATTCGTTGTTAAACCATGGTTTACGAATATGTGGAATTACAGAGGATTTTGGAATTGCTGCATCAGCAATTTCATTCAGCAAGTCCGAAAACAACTGTATCGGATCTTGAACATGTTGAAAAATGTCAGGTGTTAATTTTTCAGTGGATAGGAATTCATATAAAGACCAATCAGCCTTATTAAAATTCCACCGTGTTGTTGGTGGATGATCAGTAGGGTTAACAGTTTTAAGGATGGTAGGGAAATGGTCACTCCCACAAAGGTCATCATGAACTGACCATTCAAATTCGTTGTAAAGATCTGAATCTGTGATGGAGAGATCCAGTGCTGAATATGTTCCTGTAGCAGGATGTAAATAAGTGTTTGAATCGTCATTAAAAAGGCAGAGATTGTTGTCAGAAATAAAGTCTTCGAGCACTTTTCCCTTTCTGTTTGTATTTGGACTTCCCCATAGAGGGTTATGCCCATTTAGATCGCCCATGATGATACAGGGCTTTGGTAACTGATCATAAAGATGCTGAAGATCAGCCTGCTGAAGAGTAGTCGAAGGAGGAATATATAAGGAGCACAAAGTAAGTGCAATGTGCAAGGTAAGTCGGACAGCTACAGCTTGAAGATTGGTATTGAGGGGAACAGTACTGTGGATGATGCCTTGCCTGATCAATATAGTAGAACCTCCAGTAGCTTTCTCACCTGGAGGTGAAAATGAATGATAGCAATTGTATTTCCGTAAATCAAATACATCGCTGTGCTTAAGATAAGTCTCTTGGAGACACAGTGCTGATGGTGTAAAGTCCTGAATTAGCAATTGTATCTCATTAAAATTTTTCCTGAGTCCTCTGCAATTCCACTGAATCAAATGAGGCGTGTGAGTCATGGCGGCTCAATAGGTAATCTCACACGCGAGTGTGAAGAACTCCTAGCACTGGCCTGAGAAGATGGAGTTACCTCCATATCCAAAGGTCCAAAGGAGTTGTGGACAGGCACCTCTGAAAGAGAGGGTGTCCTAAGATGTTGTCTGTTTCGTTTTTTTCTTTCTGTCTTTGACATGCGAACATGTCCTGGTTTTTCAATAACAGGTAAAGGTTGTGGATCAGTCTGTGATTCTGAAGATGATGTAGTGGGCTGACAATCTGATTTGTTTGGCTGAATGACCGACGTTGTTTCAACTGGTTGAACGGAGTGAACCCATGTCAACTCAGTCTGACACTCTATGGATGAAGTGGCAACAGAACGAGACACTGCAGCAGAATACGTTAATGTTGATGGCAGCTGATTTGCCACTTGTTTTTTGGCATCCAGATATGATATGTTGTTATGATGTTTGAGTTTCAATATCTGGGATTCAGTCTTCCAGAGTGGACAGGATTTGGACCAGGCTTCATGTTGGCCATTACAGTTGGCACATTTGACGTCCTCCCTACATTCAGTGCTGTCATGTTTACCACCACAACGCTGGCAAACATGAGGTCGATCACAAGATTTGGAACCATGACCAAACTTTTGGCAAGTATAACACCGGAGTGGATTGGGGACATACACCTCCACTCCGATATTAACATAACCAGCTTTAATTGAACGAGGGATACTTGGTCTATCAAATGTGAAGAGATAGGTATTCAGGGGAGTGATAACACCATTTACCTTTTTGGTGAAACGTTTAACAGCTGTCACTGCCTGATCCTTTAACTCTGTAACAATTTCTTGTTCAGACATGTCCGAAAGACATCGAGCTCTGTCTCGAACAATGCCTCTACTGGAGTTTAAAGTTTTATGTGCTGAAACAGCAACCTCAACATTTGCAAATTGACTGATCGACAAGAGATTTAGAGATTGCTGTTTCTTCAGACACTCCACAAGAATAGAACCACTACCGAGACGAGTGACATTTTTCACTTCTCCACAGTGTCCGTTAATAGCTTTAGTAATAGCAAACGGATTCAGTTTTAAAGGTAGTTTGTCAGCAGCCTCGATCACCAGGAATCGGGCCCATGAATCGGAGTTGGTGGGAATGTTCCCAGAATCATCATCTTCAAGACGCCTTTTTTTATCGTTACGAATTGAACCAGGTTGTTTGGTAGACATGGCGAAAGAAAAGTGTTTCAGCATACCTGCTCCCCACCCCCCATGGAGTGTCAACAAGGACAGTGTTGTAGCGCATCTGATTTCCAGCATGCAAACACCAGGGATACAGGGATGTTATACTCCAGCAAATATGACTTGAATAGCTATATTTATCTACCAGATGTAGTGCCAGGCAGGTTCAGTCCATGACAAGAAACTGGAGACATACAGAATACAGAGGTCAACATCACCAGATTGGCCCATGAGCCACCGCCTTCTGGCGTAAGACTCTAGGCAATTTATTCCATCAAAAATTGGTAATTCATACAAAGTATGCATGGCCAAGTCCAAAATATACATTATAATAACAACACAGGAGTGCATACACAATATTACGCACAGGGCCTGGCATGACCAGCCGATTGATAAGACCGGGCCCATCTTACCACCCGTCTAGGCGAAGTAAGGGTCGAAGTAGTGTGTTGGGCAAAGGAACACAGTTCCAGGAACCAGTGCCCTCAACTACCAGACTCCCGTCCTCCGCCGACACAGGGACGCAACCCACGGCAAACAGGTTGCCCATTTTAGTCGCCTCATATGACCAGCAATGGGAGGCTGTGGAAATATTCTGCCCCGGTTCCACACGGGGGAAGAGCGATTAGCGTTACCCAGCACTCACCACGAGGAGGTTGCTCTTCACGAGTGCCAAATGTACTTTGAATGATGTGGTCTTACATATCCTCTCCGGGGGACAATAATTTTACGCTACTTCAACCCCCTTAGAGGATATAGCCACTAACAATCTAAGTTACAAATTATACATTACCAATATAAAATATAGCTATTTACACAATTCAAAATTTATCAATAAGTTCAATTTCTTTTAAAAAGCCAATAATTAAATGAGAATTGATTCTATTAAAAAGATCCGTCATTGATGATGATTTGAAATATTTATCCCTTGTGATGGAAAAATCAACACAGTCAAGCAGGACATGCTTGACGGTGATTCTTTCATCACAAGGGATACAAAATGGAGGATCCTCACCTTTCAACAAATAATCGTTTGTATACCTGCTATGGCCAATACGACATCGTCGTATTATGACCTCCTCAAATCTGGACTGACAGCCCAAGCAGGTGTAACCGATATTTGGTTTAATTTCATGTAATTTATTTATACCTACTTGAGTGTCCCACTTCTGTTGCATTAGATCAGTGATGTAAGATCTAATTAAGGGTTTATAATCAGTGTATGGTAGAAGAAGTGGTGTCACAGATTTGGTGAGTGCTGCTTTTGCAGCAGCATCGGCCATTGTATTACCAATGATACCAACATGGCTTGGTAACCAACAAAAGACGATGTCGTACTGGCCAGTAGCAAGATCATTTTGCAGTTCAATGATTTCACGTAAAAGTGGATGATGACAAGATATATTATTTATTGCCTGAAGACAGGAAAGTGAATCAGAGAAGATAATGAACCGTTTATGTTTAGATTGGGTATTTATATATTTAAGAGCAGTTAATATTGCCTGCGATTCTGCTGTAAAAATAGAACTGTCATTCGGTAATATAGATGATATGGTTCTGGATCCAATGACAGTGGCGCTGGCAACAGCGGCACCATCCTTGGATCCATCTGTAAATATGGATTTGTAAGTATTATATGTGTTCCTTAATTCATTATATTGTTGTTGGTAAATTAGTTGATTTGTGACAGATTTCTTCAGTTTAGTTAAAGTTAGATCCACCTCTGGATGTACTAACTGCCATGGTGGAGAAGAGAAAAGCTGAGTGGGGGCTATATTACCAAGGTTAATGTTAGCAGCAGAAATATCTGCTTGTAGTCGTATTCCTAGTGGTGGAATAAGAGAAGATTTTGTTTTGAATAGATTACCGTAAAGGGGATTGAAAACACAGTCATAAGCTGGATTGGAGTTATTGGAACGTAATTTAGACATATATTGGAGAGCTAATTTAATGCGACAGTGTTTTAGGGAAGGCTCGTTAGCTTCCACATACAAACTATGAACAGGTGAAGTTCTGAAGGCTCCAAGGCAAAGCCTCAGGCCCTGATGATGAATGGTGTCAAGTAATTTTAAATTGCTCTTACAGGCCCCACCATAGATGATGGAGCCATAATCAAGTTTCGAGCGGATAAGTGTTCGATATAGTTGGAGGAGGGTTTTTTGATCCCCTCCCCACTTACAATTTGAGACAACTTTTAATAAATCTAGGGCCTTCAAGCACCTATTCTTTAAGTATTTTATGTGGGGCAGAAAGGTCAAATGATGATCGAATATTAGACCTAAGAATTTGGCTTCCGTTACAACTTTAATGGGAGTGTTATCTAAAATTAATTCTAGATCTTTATGGGGTTTATATTTCCTACAAAAATGTATACAGTTGGTTTTAGATTTTGAAAATTTAAAACCATTTTCAAGACACCATTTCTGGATTTTATTTAAACATAGCTGAAGCTGCCTTTCAATAGTATGCATGTTTTTGCCACGACACGAAATATTAAAATCATCCACAAAGAGCGATCCGTCAATCGAATCATTTAAAACTTTGGACAAACTATTGATCTTAATACTAAACAATGTGACAGACAAGATGCTACCTTGTGGGACACCTTGATCCTGATTATAATGATCAGAAAGGGTAGAACCCACGCGGACCTGAAAGTGCCTGTCAGTTAAAAATTCGGATATAAATTGAGGCAAACGGCCTCGTAATCCAAAATCATGTAAATCTTTTAAAATACCATGTTTCCATGTAGTGTCATATGCTTTTTCTAGATCGAAAAAGATAGACACTGCATGTTGTTTATTTATTATTGCATTTTTTACAAATGATTCTAAGCGAACCAAATGGTCGATGGTACTTCTGTTTTTCCGGAAACCACATTGTATATTAGTAATAAGATTATTGGATTCCAGGTACCAAACGAGACGATTGTTTATCATGCGTTCCATGGTTTTGCAAACGCAGCTTGTCAATGATATTGGTCGGTAATTTGATGGGTCAGTATGATCTCGACCGGGCTTGGGGAGCGGGACAACTATAGCATCACGCCACGAAGGAGGGAACTTCCCTGAGGTCCAAATGACATCAAAAATATTCAAAAGTGTTTCTAAGGATGATTCTGGTAAGTGCTTCAGGAGTTGATAATGTATGTTATCAGCTCCTGTAGCAGTATCATGAGCTTGTCCAAGGGCAGTGTGGAGTTCATGAATAGAGAATAGTTCATTATAATCTTCCCCATTATCTGAATTAAAATTTATAGGTTTCTTTTCTTGCTGTTTTTGATACTTTTGGAATTGAGGTACATAGTTAGATGAGGAAGAGTGTTTAGACAAAGTTTCGCCAAGTTTATTAGCAATATCTGATTTATGAGTTAGTAGTTGGTCCCCATTTTTAAGATGATGAATACTAGATTTAGTGCCCTTACCTTTGATTTTTTGGACCATGTTCCATACCTTGGACATGGGCGTCCTTGAATTTATTTTTGACACATAATTTCGCCAAGATTGGCGTTTACTTTCTTTAAATGTACGCCGTGCTTTTGCGTTTAAGATTTTAAATTTATTTAAGTTATGAACCATAGGATGGCGGCGGAAATAATGCTCCGCCTTTTTCCTCGCCTTCCTAGCTCGCTTGCATTCATCAGTAAACCATGGTTTACGTATGTGTGGAATTCCAGAGGACTTGGGAACACAATCTTCAGCTATTTTGATGAGTTCATTAGAAAAGCATGTTATCGGGTCAGGAATGTCAGTAAAGTGATCAGGTGTTAACTTTGCTGTACATAGAAGGTCATACAGAGGCCAGTTAGCTTTGGTAAAGTTCCATCTAGAGGACGGAGGAACATCAGATGGGGTAATAGGGTGTAGAATGGTTGGAAAGTGGTCACTTCCACAGAGGTCATCGTGTACTGACCACTCAAATTCATTTAGCAGGTTGGAATCTGTAACAGACAAATCCAGAGAAGAGTATGTGCCTGTACCAGGATGTAAATATGTGTTTGAATTATCATTAAAAAGGCACAGAGTATTGTTTGAAATAAAATCTTCTTAGAGCTTGCCTTTACCGTTGGTATGATCACTACCCCAAAGTGGGTTATGTCCGTTCATATCGCCCATTATAATACAGGGCTTAGGAAGCTGGTCATAGAGAGCTTGAAGATCGGATCGCTGAAGAGATGCAGATGGAGGAACGTAAAGAGAGCACAGAGTAAAAACAATGTGCATAGTGATACGAACTGCGATAGCTTGTAGAGGTGTATTCAGAGGAACAGGGCTATGAATAATACCTTGCCTCACCAGGATTGAAGATCCTCCAGTTGCTTTAGCTCCTGGAGGTGAAAAGAAATGATAAGAATCATATTGTCTGATGTTGAGTTGATCTGTATTTTTAAAATATGTTTCCTGTAGACAAAAGGCAGTTGGCTTGAAATCCTGTGTTAAAAGCTGTAAATCATTAAAATTGTTTTTTAGTCCTCTGCAATTCCATTGTATTATCGGGTTAGAACAGGTCATGGTGGTTCTACTGGGGATCTGGACCGAGAGGGAGGTCCACTCCCATGGTCTGTTGGAGATGGAGTTATCTCCATCGCCAAAGGTTCAAATTGATTTTGAACCACAACAGGTGGCGGCTGAGAAGAAGGCACCTCCAAGTGTTGGAGTGCCCTAGCCGTTTTTTTCAGTTTCTTTTTTTCCGTTTTTGTTAAATGGAGGTCTCCATGAATTGGAGATGATTCTGGTTCTACTATTTTTGTTGATTGCACTAGCTCCGTCTGTGAAGCTGATGTTACTCTTGTTGTGACACTGTGAGATGATTTGGCTGACTTGTCGTCTAGCATCTGCTGAGTACCTACCCAAGAAATGGTTGTTTGGCATCCTACAGAATCTGTGGCGGCCTTGACAACAGGAGTGACAGTTACTGCTGCTGAGTAAGATTTTGTTGAGTTATTTGGAGATTGTGACTGAACTAGCTTCTTAGCATCATGAAAAGAG